GCGCTCCCAGGACGTGCTGTGGGGTGGGGGGTGGGGTGGTGTGTAATGTGTGTGGCGTGCGTGGCGTGCTGCGATGCTGTGCTGTGCGTGTGGCGTGTGCGTGTGCCTGTGCCTGTGGCCTGTGCTGTGCCTGTGGCCTGTTGCGTGTGTGCGTCGGCGGTGCGTGCGTGCGTGCGTGCGTGTGTGTGAATGTTAGTGCCAGGTACACGCGCCTATAGTTCGTACTATACGTTATGTATAGAACTGTATGTTATGTTGATGACATGCGACCCGCCGGTGTCGTCCTGTTTAAAATTGGTTAGATGTTGGTTGAACTACCGTAACTACTCGTGAACGTAATAAACCCGTATGCATTCACGGTCCGTTCGTTATTGGAATAACGTAAGCTAGCCACTCGCGCATGTCCATTTCCTAGGACTGCGCAGGCTGCAACAACTCCACTCAATTTCATACGTAGCCACCATGGTGTCTGTCTCTAACCTAACGCGTCAACACCGCCAGCGGGGTCACGACACGTGTTTGCAGACCGCGCGTGGGTAGAGTGTTTGAAGCCTGGCCGTGCAGAGCTCAGGTGCTCGCAACGGTAACGCGCCCGTTGCATAGTTTTCTGTCTCTAACCCTACCACGCTCACATGAGTTGGCAGCCCTGGCCATATGTTTCTGTCTCTAACTCTACCGAGCTCATGGTTTGCAGGCGCCTGCTACAAGTGATTTTCATAGTCTCTAACTCATAGTAACTCTAGCGCACGCCTGCATAGTATGGCAATGCCGCTCTTGCCGATATGTTCATGTCCGCTAACTTCTAGCCACGGCGTCATGAGGTTGCAAGGGCCTTGCCACATGAATTTTTGGTCTCGTAACTCTCTCCAACGCTACATGTACTGCAGTCCCTGCCATATTTTCTGCGTCATCTAACTCTAGCCACGCATCATGTTGCAGCCCTGCCGATATTTTCTGTGCTCTAACTCTACTACGCCGTCATAGTTGCCAGGCCGCTGCCATATTTCTGTCTCTAACTCTACCCACGCTCATGTTCGCCACGCCCATAGCATATTTTCTGCCTCTAAGCTCGGTGACAGCGGCTCATTGTTGCTGCCGACATGCATATTTTCTGTCTCTAACTCTAACGCAGCTCAGTTGCTATATATATATATATGTGTGTGGGTTCATACTTGTGCACAGACATGTAGCATTGTGTTTAGAACACTACAGCTTGCAGGCCATGTGGATGTGATTGTCGTCATCGCCGTCATCGTAATTTTGTTTAACAGAGTCTTGTCGCCCCGGTCACTACTATAACCTCACGCTGAGCATCTGCATGGATTGTGGCTTCGGCTTCTATCAGGATACTCCCAGTAGTTTCGAGTGCAAGCCTTGTGGAATCGCCAAGACAACCGTAACGACAACCACCGTGAGGGCACAGGACTGCATTGGTAAGTTTGAATTGCATAGTGGTCGCGTCATGACGAGCGTTACTACTCAGAAACTCTTTCGTTGTTTAGTTCAAAATAGCATAGGTAGTGCACAATCATACAGTACAATATACACAATCATATGCACAATCATGGGCACAATTATACACATACAATACAATATACACAATCATATTCACATACAATACAATAACAAGCATAGAATCGTTAATTCATAGCATAGAGTTAACCATCAGCATCCTAAAATGTACGATCTGTCATTGGCTGCACCTAGATGACTGCAGCTCGGGCCACGAACTGTCACCAGAGGGCAGGTGCAAACCTTGTCCTAAAGGAACCTACAGGACAGGAGGCCTGCACGAGCGATGCATCCATTGTCCGGCCGACAGACCTGAGACACTGCAACCAGCCGTAAGTCAATCTCCCGCAGTAGCACAGGCAAAGATGAATATGAGTGTTTGCTGTCGTGAGAGGGGTAGTGAGGAATAGAGTGGGTAGTGAGGAATAGAGTGTTTGCTGTCGTGAGGGGGTAGTGAGGAATAGAGTGTTTGCTGTCGTGAGGGGGTAGTGAGGAATAGAGTGTTTGCTGTCGTGAGTGGGTAGTGAGGAATAGAGTGTTTGCTGTGGTGAGGGGGTAGTAAGTTGTAGAGTGTTTGCTGTCGTGAGTGGGTAGTGAGGAATAGAGTGTTTGCTGTCGTGAGGGGGTAGTGAGGAATAGAGTGTTTGCTGTAACGAGTGGGTAGTGAGGAATAGAGTGTTTGCTGTCTGAGGGATGTGTAGTTGAGGAATTAGAGTGTTTTCGCCTGTCGTGAGTGGGTATGAGGAATAGAGTGTTTGCTGTCGTGAGGGGTTAGTGAGAAGCAGAGTGTGCCGTCGTGAGTGGGGTAAGGCGGAATTAGAGTGTTTTGCTGTCGTGAGGGGTAGTGAGTAATAGAGTGTTTGCTGTCGTGAGTGGGTAGTGAGGGGGTAGTGAGGAATAGAGTGTTTGCTGTCGTGAGGGGTTAGTAGGGGATAGTTAGTAGTAGTGTTTGCTGTCTTGTAGAAATTAAGCAGAGAGTAATGAGCTGGCATTGCGGGACGATTCAGAATATGGTGTATCATGCTGGTTGGGTTGAATAGGGTTTCATTGTTTTCGTCGAGAAAATATGTATAGCTATTCTGTAACGCGTGTGTTTATGTGCTGTGGGCTAGTCTTGTTCAGCAAACCATTATTGTTTGTTTCTACAATCGAACTTCCCACTGTCAATAACTGCGCGCTGCAAAAACAATTTCCTCCTGTCCTTTGCATTGCTTTGGGGTGTCGCTAGGCAACCGCTCCAGGGAAATGAAAAACGTCGTTTCGACAGAGGTTTCTACGGTCAAAGTCAGCCGGGTTGAACGTCTTGAGGAGCAGCTCTTCGATACTTGAAACGGAGATTGTGCCGCAGGTGGGGTTGTATGATAGCTACGTGTTAGGGGCGACTGTAATTTAACTCCTGGCTGTGCTATCAACAACAGTTTGATAATCACTTTATGCATGTACCATCTTTACATTAATAATTAAATAAATAAATAATAAAATAAATAAAATATTCTATGACATACTTAGCTAGAGGTCACACGCCAGTACAGTAGGGATATATAAACCGTGAATGTTTCAGGTCCATCGGATGCAAGGAAGGCACCTGGTGATCTTCAACGGACTGGCGCTACGCGGTTCTGGTGTACGACAACCAGTTGAAGGCAAGGTTGGAGGCGTTGTACACAAGCTGATTGTGGTTGCACTCATCTGCCGCCAGGCTACGATTGGTAGCTTTGCAATATCACCACAGAACGGTCCTTCTGGCTGTGTAACTGGTTGGAAAAATGTTTTTTCTCGTAGCTCTGGGTGTAAATCTGAAGACACTTGTTCAGGTGTTTAGGCTAGCAGTATCTGACGCATGTATCCCTGTACTTTCCATTCTGCATTTTGTGCTTCGTGTGTGCTTTTTGATCTTGTGTGCTTTATGTTGCTGCAATATGTCTGCATTTTGTAACTGCAGTTGTGTTCTGCTGTTAGGTGCGCCATGTAGCTCCCCCGCGTTGTGTACTGTGTTATTGTGGCGCCATGTGTGCGTTGTGCGCTGCACTACGTGCTTTGTTATGCACTGGTTTCACACTCGCATCACGTGGTCCGATTTTGCACGACTTGAAAACGCCTGTCAGAGATCGTTATCTCATCAGATTTCACAGCACATGCCAAACCAGGCGGTCCGACACGACTGAATGATCGCCGTCGAAACTTCCGAGCCTAGAAGCCTCTCTAGCTGTGAATCCCACAAGGTTGTCGCGTCAATCCCCCCTCCCACGACTGACCGCCGTCCGAATGTCGACTTGCAGATAAGATCCCCCACCCGCGCCGAGCTGTGTCGCCGAACAACATACTCGGGTGTCCAGCTTCTGTTCCCGGCAGACGGCGATCAGTGCCCGGAGCCGCGATTCTCCGACATCGCCGGACATCGCCTACCCGAACCAGCCGTTCGCACTCGCACCACGCGACCTCTTCACTGGGCGAGCTACGAGGCTCACGTAACCCGCCTACGACACGGCCGAAACGGCGCGAACGTGCAGCTTCATACGGTCTACGTCATACGTACGTACCGCTCGCAACAGCCCATGACGTGGCGAGTTTACCGTATTTCACAGTTTTTATTGCTAGTTGTCCTACTTTACCCTAAATTCACAGTTCTTTATCTAGTTCCCTAGTTTACTCTAATTTCAACAGTTTTTATCTAGTTCTCTAGTTTAGCCTAATATCACATTTTTTTTAATCTAGCTTCCCTTGGTTTGCCTAGTTTCACAGTTCCTATAGTTTTCTAGTTTTACAGTTTCCTTAGTTTCCTAGTTTTCCTCAGTTCCCTAGTTTCATAATCACAGCAGAAAATCTGAGTGACCAGTAGGTGGCACGTAGTGGCCCTGTTGATATGCACTACTGTCATCTCTTGCTCTCATGTCATGGATTATGTGGAAAGTGCTCACCATAGTTGAGTCGACATGCCTGAGTAGTAACAACAGCTGTCAATCTCGACTGGTGAACGTGAGGAGAAGTGGTGGAAAATTAAACGTGGTAATTTATTATATAGGAAAATGTATGGTTTGTTGATTTATAGGTAGCGTACTGCGTATTCTACGCACACACACACATCCTTATAAGAGAAGGTAACACGGTATAGATAGATTATTGCACACTTCTTTGTTCGTATAGCCTGTTGTTTAGCCTATTAATAATAGTTATGAAGACTAAGACGATGAATTGACTATGAAGACTGTCTTGAACTCGAAACCAGGCGACATCGAATGGCCTACAGTCAAAATAACATTTAAATAAGCCAAGTCTGCTTATTCATAGTAGTTCATGCGTATTCATATCCATTCTTTTTGATGTTCTCATGCTTCATTTCACAGGCGAGCCATGCAAAGGAGCCAGAGGTGCCCAGGTGTCAGGGCAAGCTGGCGAGGTCACCGTCGAATGGTCAGATGAACTTTTCTTACATCAGTTGTGAGCTTGACTGGCAGCGATTCCCACAGCCACTCGCTTCTCTACACGTGCGGCACGGACGGCAATTCTGGGCGGCCGAATCGCGCCATGCCAACAAGGCTCACTTACCTAGCTGCACGAAGGAGTGTTTGATTGTCGTACTCTGTAACTGCTACTCCGAAATCACTGTCGAGGAAAACAAAGTATACACGTCTACATGCGCAGGGCGCATACACATGTGCGTGCGTGCGGGTATGCCCTGCCGGTACGGTGCGTCCTGTGTGCGGTGCGCTGCGGCGTGCATAGTTGTTGTTGGAATCGTGCGTGCGTGTTGCGTTACATGTGTTGCAATCATGTATAAGTATCTCATATCGTATCTGCGTGGTCTAATCCCATTCGACAGGCTGCCATCACAGCAATACGAAACAACTCCAATATCGAAAAACTATACCTAACCGCACAGGCACGTTCTCCACATGGACCTCTGCGCGATGCACGCTGTTCTTCCCATTGTCGCGCAGACACGAGCAAGCCGACGTCCGGAATCATGTTCCGCATGAACTACCGCGCGCGGACGATGCTCGCCGGACCTCACGCACGATTAAGGCGGCGGTGACGGCCGCGTGCGCGAGATCACAGGGGCGCCGCCTTGCCGCGAGCCAGCTGTCCGTCGATGGGGCTCGAGAGTGGCGTGCATCACAAGCGGCGGAACGGAAGCCCGTGTTCTCCGCCACCGGCAGCTTCATCGCTCCCAGGTACGTGCTGTGGGGTGGGGGTGTATGTGTCGTGCGTGCGGCCATGCGGTTGCGTTGCGTGCGTTGTGCCTGTGTAGCTCTGGTGTGGGTGTGTGTGTGTGTGTGTGTGTGTGCGTATGTGTGTGCCTGTGTGTGTGGTGACGTTGCGTGCGTGTCCCGTGCGTGCGTGCGTTGTGCGCTGCGTGCGTGCGTGATGCGTGTGGGATGTTGTAGTGCCGCAGGTACACGCGCGCATAGTTCGTACTAACGTTATGTATTAGACTGTTATGTTATAGCTTGTAGGCATTTGGCGACCCGCGCGTGTTGTCCTGTTTAAAATTGGTTAGATCGTTGGTTAACTATCGTGAACGTAAATAACGCCGTATGCATTCACGACTCGTTCGTTATTGAATAATGGTAAGCTGCCCGCCAAGTCCATTCATGACTGTGGCTGCAACACTCCACTCAATTTCATAACGTAGCCCACCATGTGTCTGTCTCTAACTAAACGCTCTCGTCACAGCCTCCGCCAAGGCGACTTCAACACACGGGTGTTGCGCCAAGCGCGGTGCAGAGAGGTGTCGAACCTGCTGCAGCTCAAGATGCTCAGCAATGTACGCCGGCCCGTCCATATTTCTGCACTACAGCTTTTCGGCCCTGCATATTCTGCTCAATTCTACCACGCTCATGTTGCAGCCCTGCCATTTTTCGTCTATCTAGCGCTCATGGCACTGCAACTGTCTTACCTCCGACGCTCATGTTGCAGCTCTGCCATATTTTCTGTCTGCTAAACTACTACAACGCTCATCGTTGCAGCTGCCATATTTTTGTCTCTAACTCTTAACAGCGCTCATGTTGCTCGCCGTTGCAATATGTTTCTGTCTGCTAATATACCACGCTCATGTTGCAGCCCTGCTATTTTCTGTCTCTAAACATCTCCCACGCTCATGGTTCCAGCCCTGCCATATTTTCTGTCCTCATGAACTCTACTCACGCTCATGCGTTGCAGCCCTGCCATAATTTTCTGTCTCTAACTCTACACCCGCCAGTCATGTTGGCAGCCCTGCCATATATTCTCGTACCTCTAATCTACCAGGCTCTATGTTGCAGCCGGTTGCCATATTTTCTGTCTCTAACTCTAACCTAATCAGCTCAATATTTCGTTCTACTCAGCATGGTTT